ATTCTATTGTCAATGTAGATCCAGATATATATGCATATGCAGTATACATGTATATATGTAAAATATACAGATATCTTTTATAAGAATACACGAATGCACATTAATTTTTTTGCACACATAATTGTGAACAATCACTTTGATTATTCATATCGGTATTTTTTTTTTAAATCATCATTTACTTTTTCTTTACCTTTTTTTTTTTTTTTTTGCAAAGAGTTGTGCTGCCAAGCAACTTGAGGTAAAGGCATTAAAAGGGTTAGACTACAAGAAAGTGAAAACGAAACAATTGCGATACTTCCTACAGGAGACCGCACAAAAAAGCAGTTGGCTGGTTTCATATTGCATAATGGTGCTGTGTTCCTTGATGAAGTAAACGATCTTCCTTGTATCAACATATAGATCAGACCCTGGCCCCCACACAGTGTTGGTTTCTGTATGGCTGGAGGCATTCCCCACTCAACTGACTCCACTGGAAGCATACACTGTATGTCGATTCATCTTCCAGTTCTTCCTCTCAGAGAATATCCTTCAACTTTTTAAGCAAAGTACATTGTGCGTAAGGTATCTTGGTGAATCTGTACAGCCTTGGCAAGAGCTTGAGGATCTCGTCCATTGCTCTGTCCTGAAACGTGACTTCCTTCAGCACTGTAAGAAAAGTGGCAATGAACACAAACCCAATCCTATTCTGATATAATAATTCTGAAAAATATTACTTGTAGAAAATTTCAAACACATTAAAAAAAAGAGGTCAGTATAATGAACTCATACATGTCTATCGCCCAGCTTCAATAATTACTAACTCAAGGCCAATTTTGTTTTACTTCCCTCACCTCCCTAGGATTATTCAGAAGCAAATCCAAGACATCCTATCATTTTGTCTGTTTATATCACTTTTGTCACCAATAACCTCTCCCTTGAATTAACTAGGTAAAGCAACAAAATCACTATATCATACTATTACTAATAATAGCTCATGGAACTTTAATTCTAAACGACAGTGCTTTATGGCAAACAGAGAGGCACATTCTTACATGGAAACAAAGAAATTTCCAAAGAAAATTCTCACACAGAGCATACTTGGATTTGGGTGAGAATCTGTATTTGTTATGCTTTTATATTACCTGTCATGTTCTTTGTCCACGAGATGATATCTGGCTCTAAATGCCACCAGGTGAGCATAATACGCTGGTGCAGGTATAGAAACGGATCGTGTACACCGCACATAGGTGTGGCAGAGCTGGTAAGTTAGCAGCTGAAGTTCATCTGCAGTAAAGCAGTTATCATCCCATAAAACATGATAGTGTGAAGGACGGCTGGTACCCTATAAAAGGCAATGGCGTATTCTGTTGATTTCTAAACTTCCTGGTAAATATTAGTTATGGACTAAGTTAAATAAAAAACAAACTTTGTACATTAGTAAAACATTCTAATTTAACAATCAATTAAAAACACATTTAGTTTTTATTTAATAATCAATTAAAAACACATCTAGTTTTTATATATCCAAAAGAAGTAAAAGCAGAGACTTAGATTTTTGCACACCTGTGTTCAAAGCAGCATTATTCACAATAGCCAAAAGATGGAAACAATCCAAGTATCTACTGATGGATGAACAGATAAATAAAAGGTGGTATGGTAATAATATTATTATTAGGGGAGAAAATTCTGCCACATACTACAACATGGATGAACCTTGATGATGTTATGTTAAGTGAAATAACCCAGTCACAAAAAATAAAAATTGTATGATTTACTTATATGAGGTACCTGAAGTAGTAAAATTCATATAGACAAAGTAGAATGGTGGTTGCCAGGGGATGATGGGAGGGGAGAATGGGGAGTTAGTATTTAAGCAGTACAGAGAGTTGAGAGATGAAAAAGTTCCACAGACAGAAGGTGGTATGGCTGCACAATAGTGCACATTACTTAGTGCCACAGAACTATATACTTAAAAAGGTTAAAATGATAAACTGTATGTTATGTATACACATTATACCATAATAAAAACCTAGCACATTTAGTTGAGCTCCTATGTATTGGCTACTATGAATTCAAAGAAAAAGTCAACAAAGTAAAAAAATTTATTGTCTCTGGAAAAACTGTACTTTAGCAGAGGAGCAGAGGAAACAGAGCATTTACAATTATAAAACACCTAATACATGGCTATAGTACTGCTACTACTAAGCCCTGCACGAGAATACTGAAGGAACAAATGGTGAGGGTGAGTCCTGGGGCCCTTCACCAAGTTGGGGAGGAGTGAGATTTGGCCTTTTTGGGGTGGACAAGATGAGGACACCAGGCAGAATGAACAGCCTTAACAAAAGCACAAGGGGCATAAAATTTTTTGGCATATTTGGGGAATAGCTAACAGACTAGAATGAACAGAGTATGGTACATGAGAGGGAAAAGATGAAGGTGATATGAACAGTTGGAATCAGACTCAATGACATGCTTAGGAATTCAGACTTTCACTTAGGGGCAGCAGGGAAAGCACTGCACAGCTTTTTAAACAGGAGGGTTTTCAGGAGGGATGAGATTGGAGTTTATAAAAGTAATATCGGCAATAATATGGAGGATGGATTAGAAACAGAATCCTGATGAAACAGAAAATAGAAAATTTTAACAGACTGATTACTAGTAAGCAGATTAAATAGAAATCAAAACTCAACATTCATTTATGATAAAAACTCTCAACAATGCAGGTATAGAGGGAACATACTTCAACATAAAAAAGGCCATATATGACAAGCCCATGGCTAACATCATACTCAGTAGTGAAAGGGTGAAAGCTTTTCCTCTAACATCAGGAACAAGACAAAGATGCCACTCTCACCACTTTATTCACATAGTACTGGAAGTCCTAGCCACAGCAATTAGCCAAGAAGAAGAAATAAAATATTACACAGATCTTACATGACTCATGATGGGGTTATGTCCTGATAAACCAATTTTAAGTTGAAAATACCCTAAGTCAAAGTGCATTTAATATACACATAATTTACCAAACTTCATAGTTTTGCCTAGCCTAACTTAAAAGTGCTCAGAATACTTAGCCTATAGTTGAGCAAAATCATCTAACAGAAAGCCTATTTTAAAATAAAATGCTGAATAGCTCATGTAATTTATTGAATACTGTACTGAAAGTGAAAAACAGAATGGTTGTCTGGGTACAGAATGGTTGTAAGCACATCAGTTGTCTACCCTAGCGATGGTGTGTCTTGGCAGCTATGGCTTGCTGCTGCCGCCCAGTATTGTGAGAGGGTATTACACTGCATATCACAAGCCTGGGAAAAGGTCAAAATTCAAAATTTGAAGTACGGTTTCTACTGAATACATATCACTTTCACACCACTGTAAAGTCAGAAAATAGTAAGCCAAACCATCATATGGTAGGGAATGTCTGTATACTACAAAGCTGTACTAATTAAAATAGTATGGCAATGGCATAAAAACAAGCATGTAGGTAGATCAATGGATCAGAATACAGAGCCCAGAAATAAACCCTTGCATACATAGTCAATTAATTTATGACAAAGGAGGCAAGAATTTACCATGGGGAAAGGACAGTGTTGGGAAATTTGGATAGCCACATGCAAAGACTAAAACTGGACCATTATCATATACCACACGCTAAAAATTAACTCAAAATAGTTTAAAGACTTAAATATAAGACCTGAAACTTAAAACTCTCAGAAGAAAACACAGGCAGTAAGCTCCCTGACCTAAGTCTTGATAATTTTTTTTTTTCATCTGAAACCAAAAGCAAAATCAACATAAGCAAAGATAAACAAGTGAGACTACATCAAACTAAAAAGCTTCGGCACAGCAAAGGAAGCCATCAATAAAACGAAAAAGTAACCTACTAAATGGGAGAAAATATTTGCGAATCATGTATCTGATAAGGGGCTAATATACAAAATTATAAAGAACTCATAAAATTCAATAACAAAAGAAAAAAATCCAATTAAAAAATGAGCAGATGATCTGAATAGTCATTTTTCCAAAGACACAGAGTTAGCCAACAGGTACATGAAAAGATGGTCAATATAATTAATCATCAGAGAAATGGAAATCAAAATTACAATGAAATATCACCTCATACCTGTCAGAATGGCTATTATCCAAAAGATTAGAAATGACAAGTTTTGGTGAGGAGGTAGAGAAAAGGGAATTCTTATGCACTGCTGGTGGGAAAGTAAACTGTTGCAGTCACTATGAAAACAGTATGGAGGTTCCTCAAAAAATTAAAAATAGAAATAGCCCATATGATCTAGCAGCTCCACTTATGAGTACTTATCTGAAGAAAATCAAAACACTAACTCAAAAAGATGTATGCATTCCTATATTGCATTATTTGCAATAGCCAAGATACGGAAACAACCTGTGTGTCCACTGATGGATGAATGGATAAAGAAATTGTGATATACATACATACATACATACATACATACATACGTACGTATATATGGGCATTATTCTAAGTGAAATAAGTCAGACAGAGAAAGACAAATGCCATATATGTGGAAGCAAAATAAGTGAATGAATGAATAAATTAAAACAGAACAAAATAAAACAAGGTCAAAGATACACAGAGCAGATTGGTGGTTATCAGAGGTGGGGTGTGGTGAAAAAAGGGTGAACTGTTTTTGTTTTCAATTTAAAATGAATTAAAAAATACTCCACTCCCCCAAAACAAAAAACATGTATCATTTAAAAAAGAAAAAGGAAAGAAGAGACTGAACTGAAAGCAAGGGGAACAATTAGGAGGATGTTGCATTTGTATTGCTGTGAGATGATGAACGTATGAACTAAGAAAATGGCAGTGGCAAAGGAGAAAAGGAGAAAGATCAGCGCATACTTTAACACACATTTGTTTGAGTACCATTTGTCAGATGTTGTGCAAGATTTGGAAGATAAAATTCAAACTATTACCGGATCCAACCTCCCTTAAATTATATGTTTATAATGCATATATAATA